TGCTACCACCTTGTATAAATTCGCCTTGTTTTTGACATTAATAAGTACCGCGGCGAAAATCTAAATTCGCCATCAATTCCACCTTGTATAAATTCGCCTTGAGGGAAGGGGTGGCAACCAACGTAAACAAATTGGATGGCGCGTAAAATAAGCAGTAAACTTGCAAAAAACAGAACGTACCTGTGTACAAGCAAACCAATTGAAGCAGCTGCTAGTGGGTAGAAATGGATTCTGATCAGGATGAGCCAGTTAAGAAAATGGCAAAGAAGGAAGCCTATGGAGTTGATATAAAGTCTGAAATTGCAGTTGTCAAGAATGAGGAAGATGTCGGCCAGGAAGTAGAAATCAAGCAAGGGAAATCCCTCACAGGAGGTTTGAAGCAGGAGCCTGATGAATCCTCTGCTGAACCTGAAGTTACGGTGAATAAAATATACTCATTGAAAAATTTGGGGCCATTCATAGCGGCGCACGATAATTCGCAGAACACAGTTTATTTCCAAGATTTGCCTGACATCTGCAAGCGCGAACCATGCATGCTAGGTGTAGATGAAGCTGGTCGAGGGCCGGTGCTAGGTCCAATGGTTTATGGCATCGCTTACTGTCCAATAAGTAGCAAAAAAGTGTTAGAGGACTTGGGTTGCGCGGACTCAAAGCAATTGACTGAAGAAAAGCGTGAGGTGATTTTTAACGAAATGAATACAGCGGAAACACCACGTGCTTGCGTCGGGTGGGCTGTGGAAATTATATCTCCGAACATAATAAGCACCAGTATGCTGCGACGAACCAAATGTTCGCTTAATGAAGTATCTATGAATTCAGCCATTGGGCTTATAAAACGTGCTGTTGCCGAAGGTGTAAACATTTCAGAAGTCTACGTCGATACTGTAGGACCGCCAGAGAAATATCAGGACAAGTTGAAAGGCATTTTTCCAGATTTCAATATCACTGTGGCTAAAAAGGCTGATTCTACGTATCCCATTGTATCAGCTGCCAGTATATGTGCCAAAGTCACACGTGACACCGCATTAAAGGTTTGGAAATTCCCAGAAGGCATCAGGATTCCTGATAACAAATTTGGCAGTGGTTATCCAGGTGATCCGGTCACTAAACGGTTTCTCAGTGAGAATTTGGACATGTTTTTTGGGTTCCCGCGCCTTGTCCGATTTAGCTGGTCCACTGCGGAAAATGCACTTGCGGATAAAGTATACGAATTAGAATTTGACGAACCTGAAGATCCAAAACCAAAATACTCAGGACCTAAATTAACACAATTCTTCAAAGGCGCAACAAAGGGCGGTGAGGTGCAACGAAAGCCTTGTCGATTCTTTAGGGAACGTTGCTTGGATAATGTTACGAATTTCTAGCTCAGTAGTATAGAAAAATAAAATCATTATTAACATTTCAGATTATTGTCATTTCAGATTATGTACCGTATTAAAAGTAAGCATAAAATAATTTTGCACATACATATGTATTTAGTAAATCCCACGGGCAAATTTACATTTGAGAAAAAATACATATATGGATAACATTTTTTCTANGATTTCAGATTATTGTCATTTCAGATTATGTACCGTATTAAAAGTAAGCATAAAATAATTTTGCACATACATATGTATTTAGTAAATCCCACTGGCAAATTTACATTTGAGAAAAAATACATATATGGATAACATTTTTTCTACATTATGCATATGACTTCTTTCTTTAATGAAATATAACAAGAGTTTTGTAAGAGGATTATTTTCCAGTTCCAATCATGATAAAAATATAGTTATAGTGGTTATGTTTTTATCATGCTTCCAATTATGTATTGATTTTATAAAAGTATTTAATACGGCTCTAGTGCATTAAATTTGACATTAGGGTCGGACAGATATATACGACTTTAGATTATGTCTGTAGTCTTTGAAGAACAATGCATGTTCATACATATGCAGATATTTGAAAATACATAATGCTTGTTTATCATTATGAATTATATTCTAAACAAAAGTGTCGTTATAAAGTATATATGCATTTTGTTACCTCAGTTTAAGAATGAAATTATCCCCCTATCGACATTGAAAAGTGGCATCATTGTTAGATGCGTGATTTGGTCGCTTTGGCGCGCTACAATCAGCTGAGCGCTATCGGCCTCTATCATTCCCATTTGCTTACTCTTTCTGTATCACGTCGAAAGAATCGCAAGTCGCGTTTTCTACACTCGAATTTTTTAAGGCAAAATTTGTGCAAACATTTCTTTATCTTAACTTTAACCGAATGCTCTGAAATTATTGGAATTCTAAAATTTAAATTTTTGTATATTTTTTGCAAGTAAGCAGATAAAAATCCGGGCCGGGTAAGTGGGTTAAATTTGGCTGGAAAAAATCGTATTTTTCACTTCGTCGTGTGTGTGTGCTGGTTGGAAAACGCGCTGCTGCGGTGGGGCATTCGAATTGCCGCTGCTGCTGCTCTCGCCATTTTGAGTCGAATAAAAAATTTTTCTGCCTCGATACGACAAAAAAGCGAGCAAGGCACAGCCTGAAAAAGAAAATTCTAATAGTAAAAGCCATTGTGCAGCAGGCTTCGAACAGAACAAATGAAAAATCTTTAAAGGAATCGTAAAATATACTTGGAATCGAGCAACTTCGCAGATAGAATATTCCTCGAATTATTGCCAGATAATCTACTGCAGTTTCTGGTAGCTGGGGCTAAAGGCGGGAAGATATAGCGATAAGAAATTAGACTTAGATAACTCAATAATCCCAAAAACAACCGAATCACTCCACAAACGAATAGCCTGATATTCTTAAGCTCAAGGATATAATATTCAGGCAATTCTTATAGCCTTTTCCGGTGCGTAGGTGTCTCAACGGTAAAGTGGAAATTGGACAGATAAAAAGGCAAAAGACAAGGGGAAGACAACGATTAAACGAAACGAAAAATGGCGCATTCGACTGCAACTATAGTCACAGCAACAACGTCCGCTGCTGCTTCGTCGACAAGTGAAATCAACTGTATAATCCAGGATGCAAATGGTAAGTTAGATATAATATACTATATTAATATACTTTTCTTAATCCTTTTGGATGTGGGTAATTCACGAGCTTGGCCAGGGGTCATAAAAGACGGTTGCCTGCGAGCCAACCAAATTCCATAATTTACCTTCGCGTCGCTGCTCGTGCTGGCAGTTTTGGCCGTAGTAGTGTTGTTATTTTTTACTTCACTTGGATTTGTTTTTGTGTTACTGGTCTATTGTGTAGATCGCGCTGGTGGGGTATGCGGGAAATGAGAATGGGAAGTGAAGTATGGCAAAGAAGAGGGTGGGAATGTGTAAATCAGAAAAGACGGACACATCGCAAAAAGGAAATTGAAAATAAAAATGGGAATGCAAGAGGAAGAAGCATAGAGAAGGCATAGCGGAAAAGGAAATGTGCCCAAACAATAGCAATAAATATGCAAAACAAGTGAAAGAATCGGATAGAGTTGCTAAACAAACTTCCGGTTAGGACTTAAAAAATCTTAAAAGCAAAGTATATCTGTGTTCGTATGGAAAAGTAGCTTATATCTGTGTTCGTATGGAAAAGTAGCTTTTATTCTTTGAACGACAAGGAATTTTTTGATGAGACTTAGTAAGAATATTGACTTGCTAGTATCGGAACTATTTCTTGCACGTTTATTTGCTAAAAGTTGTTCAACGGCTCAGCGCCAGCGAGTCATTCGCAATCGTATACTGCAAATGCCGATTTATATTAAAGTCAGCCTTTCGACATAAGCTACTTTTCCATACGAACACAGGTATTATTTTAAGTCGATTGATACTTGCACTTTATTTATTGTCAGTGTCTACACACACGCGCCACGGTAACTTTTACCGTAGATCCAAGATAACAAATTACCGTATGTTCACCAAAAATTTAATTTTACCGTGTGGATATACGGTATTTTTTACCGTGGATCTACGGTAATTTGTTACTGTGGATCTACGGTAAAAGTTACCTTGGCGCGTGAGTATCTACGGTAAGAGGATATGTGTATTACGTGGATTATGTGTTGTCGGAGAAAGGGGGCAGAACTTCTTTATGCGTAGGCGGCCTTTGGCAGGCTTGGGGATTATAACCCTTACTACGTAGAATTCTCCTTTCTGTGTTGCCGGAGAAGTGGGACAGAACTTATTTCTGCGTAGGTAGNTATTGATACTTGCACTTTATTTATTGGCAGTGTCTACACACACGCGCCACGGTAACTTTTACCGTAGATCCAAGATAACAAATTACCGTATGTTCACCAAAAATTTAATTTTACCGTGTATACACGAATTTTACCGTGGATATACGGTATTTTTTACCGTGGATCTACGGTAATTTGTTACTGTGGATCTACGGTAAAAGTTACCTTGGCGCGTGAGTATCTACGGTAAGAGGATATGTGTATTACGTGGATTATGTGTTGTCGGAGAAAGGGGGCAGAACTTCTTTATGCGTAGGCGGCCTTTGGCAGGCTTGGGGATTATAACCCTTACTACGTAGAATTCTCCTTTCTGTGTTGCCGGAGAAGTGGGACAGAACTTATTTCTGCGTAGGTAGCCTTCGGCCGCGCTTAGGGATTATAACCCTTACTACTCACTATTCTCCTTTCTGTGTTGCCGGAGCAGTGGTACAGCACCTTTTACGTGGATATACGGTAATTTTTAACATAGATCTACGGTATTTTTACCTTGGATATACGGTAATTGTTGCGTAATTTTAACCGTGGATATACGGTAGTTTTTACCGTGGATTTACGGTAATTTTTATGGCGGATATACGGTATACCGTAGAAGTATCGAGTACTTTTGAGGATCGAGTTCTTTGGTATCGATACTTCTAAGGATCGGGTATTTTTCAGAGTACTGAGTACTTTCTTTAAATATACACATAAGTTGGTAGCATTTTATTCAAATTAATATATGAATCCCAAATTACGTAAAATGAATGGCTTACTGTACTGGGTACAAGTATTGTACTTGAAAATTATTGAAACGTCAAATTGAGTACAATCCTTTCTGAATAGTCGATACCTAATAAAAAGTAATTTGAATCGATCCTGAGTACATGTATCAAAGCTAAGATTGGAACAGAGTATTTTTGAATACTGAGTACTTTCGAGATCTTTTAAGTTCTAAATACTTTCCAGTTCCTTTTTTGATTACTGAGTACTTTCCTGTTCTTTTGTGAGTACTGAGTTCTTTGGAGTACTCAGTATCGATACTAAAAATTGGGTTTTGTCGATCCTTTTGAGTTCTGAGTACTTTTGATATCGATAATCATTATATAACAAATACCATATAAACACATTTCAAACTTTGTGCAAAAATTATAAAAAATCTGCAAGCAGATTTTTTAGAGTTTTTCGGTTATGCAGTTTAATAGCTCATTAAATTACAGGGTTATAATGTGCAAGTTTTAAGTTGCTAAAGAATCTCGTTGATTTTAATTTTTTTTTTTCTGACTGCATAACGCATTTTTTCGATACTGCCAAAAATTGCCGAATATATTTGGGAATATATATCGGCGAAATAAAAAATATTTCTCATCTGATAACAGCAATGGAACAACGTTTTTCCGACAATCCTTATAGCTGTTATGTCCCTGTTTTAAACAGCTATTTAAGGCTCTTATGATGATCACATGATACATGTTAGGGCCGGTTGTTCAATGTCTGGTTTTCACTACCTCCCAGTTAAACGTCACTATCGAGTATTTCGACATCATGCATATAACATGTAATCGATAAGGCAGTCGTTGTATTTTACCTTGTACCTCCATTTTGTATTAACTAGACATTGAACAACCGGCCCTTAATACTATAGGGGTATTCATTCCCACGACAGCCGGTTCTACGTACCGGAATGACTCGGGTTTTACCCGACCAAGGGCTGTTGTTTCGGCGATCTAACCCCGTTTAGGTCGGCGAAGTATCTCAGAAGTTGTTCGTCCATAGGGCTACATTCACTACGTATTCTTCTACTCAGGGCTGGCATCGAGTCAAACCCAAGGTCAGAAATCTACACCTGCTGTGTATGCCAGAGACGACTACACCACAACTCCATCTCAGTCAAGTGTAATGCCTGCGAGGGGTGGAGTCACCTTAGAGTCTGCTACGGACACATCGACAGGGACACGTCGTACGTGGCCCCTGTTGCTCAAACAGAGCAGCCTCCACGGCTAACCTCAGTCCACCCGAGCAGCCCTACACAGTCCCACGCACAACAACATAATAACACCACAGACCAACCACAGCCACGACAGACCACATAACACACACAACCGCACCACCACCCACACGCCGCCGCCAACAAATCCTGGTTCCCCCGACAATCTGCACGGTATGTCAGACCAGGATATCCCGTAATGTGACATCAGTCAAGTGCAACACCTGCCTTGGCTGGTTGGACTGGGAACTTCGAGGGCCCGTGTTGCGCTGCTCGGTCGCAGACCTCAACTGCGACGCCTCCCGCCACCACCACAGGGCGGCAACCATCACAGCAGCGCACACAGCCAACGGCGGTAAGAACACACACATCCCTTACACCCCACATCACGACACGTCTCCCGAACCAAATGAAGCTCCTTCAATTTAACTGTAACGGGCTACAGAGCAAGATTGAGGAGATAACCGTCTTCATGTGTCACCATGGTATATTGATAGCTGCGGTCCAAGAGACGAAGTGGCACAGCAATTCAACTTTGTTGAATTGTGCCGGGTACAACGTGCACCGTCGAGATCGCGAGCGAGATAATGGTGGTGGCTTAGCGTTCATCACGCACCACACCGTGCAGTATCGTCTTATCGAAGCAGACATCGACCGCAGGGATACCACCCTAGAATGTCAGGGCATCGCTATCCGGTCAGGCGATGTCGAGCTCGAAATATTTAATATATACATACCCCCTGTCACCTGCTGCCCGGCAGGATATCACCCTGATATAGGTGCGCTCCTCAGAGGTGAAAACCGTATGGTAGTAGGTGACTTTAATGCGCACCACGATCTTTGGCACTCAAGCCTGTCAAACGATCGTAGGGGAACAGACTTGGCTGAGCAGATAGACGATTCGACATTCTGCACAATGAACGACGACGCACCCACCAGGATTATGGGTAACTGCAGTAGCTCGCCAGACATCACAATAGTCAGCGCTGGTCTGATAAACAGCATAACGTGGCGACCTATGCTGACTCTAGCATCAGACCATCTACCCATAGTCATCTCGATTGATAAACCAACCGACTTTGCCTCCGCCAAACACCGGACCTATGTCAACTTTTCTAAAGCTGACTGGAAAGGTTACGCGGAGTTTACTGAAAACACCTTCACAGCGCTCCCCACACCAACCGACGTCCACCTCGGTGAACGTAAGTTCCGCAGGGCTATCACTGCTGCTGCAGCTCGCTTCATACCGGCAGGGTGTATATCGGACCCACGTCCAAACTTCCCTGCCGAAGCGGCTGTTCTAGCCGATGAGCGTGATAGCCTTCGTCAGGCCGATCCCGGAGATCCCCGTATCAGGGATCTCAACGCGGAGATTCGGCAACTAGTAAACGTACATAAGCGGAAGAAGTGGGAGGAGCATCTGAAGACTTGTAATTTCACCTCTGGTGTGAGCAAGCTTTGGTCAACCGTGAGGTCATTGTCTAATCCGACGAAGCACGACGACAGAGTCGAAATTTCCTTCGGCGACCATGCTTCGTCGGACCCGGAGCGATGCGCGAGCTATTTTAGCCGGCAGTTCATACTGCATCCTCCGGTGGACAAAGCCAAGCGTCGAGTGACCAGAAGGCTGCACAAACTGCCAACAACTTGTGCCCCCCTTGCTTTCACTTGCGGTGAAGTTCAGGTGGCCATCGGGAAGGCGAAAGCCTCCAAAGCCATGGGTCCCGACGGAATATGCATGCTGATGCTGAAAAATTTGGGTCCTGCGGGGGTAGCGTACCTAACGGAGGTCCTCAACTTGTCAATGGCCACTCTCATCATCCCAGACATCTGGAAGGTGGGGAGAGTGGTCCCACTGCTCAAACCGGGGAAACCCGCCAACAAAGGAGATTCGTATCGTCCGATTACACTCCTTTCCCCGGTAGCGAAGACACTCGAGGCCTTGCTACTCCCGTACTTCACAAACCACCTGACCCCAGCGAAGCATCAGCATGGTTTCCGTAAAGTGCACAGTACAACAACAGCACTTAACGCCATAAACACTCAGATAACTCGTGGCCTTAACCGAAACCGTCCCTGTGAGAGAACGATTCTAGTAGCGTTGGACTTGTCAAAGGCGTTTGACACCGTCTGCCATTCCACGCTACTAGAAGATATAGAGGCCTCCTCTCTCCCACAGAGGCTCAAACGGTGGTCGGCAAATTATCTGAGTGGTCGACATTCGTCGGTAATGTTTAGAGACAAAACGAGTAAGCAGCGAAAAATAAAACAGGGGGTTCCTCAGGGTGGTGTCCTTTCCCCGCTACTGTTTAACTTTTACATTTCAAAGCTCCCTCAACCACCAGAGGGAGTCTCGATTGTCTCTTACGCCGACGATTGCTCGATCATGGCGACTGGGAATGGAATTGATGACCTGTGTTCGAAAGTAAACGGGTATCTCTCCGAACTTTCTCGCTTCTTCACTGCAAAGTGTCTAGCCCTCTCCCCTACTTAATCCTCTGCGACCCTGTTCACAACTTGGACGAAGGAGGTCAGGCTACCGCTGGGAATTCACTTCGATGACACACCAATTCCGACGGTGAATAACCCCAAAATACTCGGAGTAACATTCGACAGCTTGCTCTCCTTCTCTGCGCACGCAACCGCTTTGTCAATAAAGTAAAGAGCCGCAACAAGGTCCTCAAGTCGCTAGATTGCAGTACTTGGGGCAAAGACAAAGAAACGTTGCTGGCAACATACAAGGCAATAGGCCGGCAGGTTTTAAACTACGTAGCGCCAGTGTGGTCGCCGGGGACTAGTAGGACGCAGTGGACGGAGCTACAGACTGTACAGAACACCGCACTCAGGACAGCGACAGGATGCCTCCTGATGTCGCCCGAAAATCATCTCCACGGGGAGAAGTGGCCACCCAAACAGACAGCTGCTTGCAGAGGAGCCCTCGCCTAGGCACGTCAGGAGGCATCTATATGAACTGACGGACGAAGTTCAGAGGTTCATCAAGCAACCTCTGGACCCGTCAGCTTACCGACTGGCCCTGAACGGCATTCACAGGGAGTCAATCTCGAGTTATGTAGACTCTAGACCTGTGAATGCCGTTCTAGGCATACCGCCCCCGGACATAGACGAGACGGAGCTTCATCTGCCTCGGGAGAAACGAACGACAATAGCCCAACTTCGCTCTGGCTACTGCAGCAGGTTAAACACCTACCTGAGTAGACTGAACGAGGATGTGCCAAATGAGTGTCCGGCATGCGGAGAGACCCCACATGACTCGAAACATCTCTTCGCATGCCCGGAAAACCCGACAACCCTAACGGTCTTGTCCCTGTGGACCATCCCTGCTGCACGCTTCCTAGGGCTGCCGTTAGTGGAACTTGACGACAATGACTGAGATACCAAGCGTCCTGGGCGGGGTTGTTCTAGCCGCTACAACAACAACAACAACTATAGGGGTATTCACATCAGACTGGTTATCTGGTTATGATGTTATCTTTTTAACTCGGTTTACAAAAAAAATAATAATTTTTAACCAGATAAAATCAATAAAGATGACGTACAGGGATTTTTTTGCAATACGGGCAATTGTTTCTTAGTTATTATATTTTTCGCAATTTTTTTATAAAAATATGGTCAATTCTACAACATAGTCCCTAAAAATCAGACCTCCAAACCTTGTTTAAAAATAAAGAAAATTCTTCAAATTTTTTATTAAAATAATGCAGTTTCTAATTACATTTTTTGAAAAAGTTGAGTATGCAGTTTCTAGCACATTCAATTTTATTATAATAAATTGCAAATCTGAAGTAGCTAGGACTTACGAATGATTTTTGAATAATTTTTTTCACCATATAAATTAATGTTCAATTCTGTTTTCTTTTTATATGGAGAAAATAACCGACACCTAACGCCGTTGTCCCTGTGGAAATTCCCTATAGTCTATCTGGACGGGGTTGTTGTGGTCGCTACAACATTATTATTATTATTATTATTATTATGCTATAATTAAAAAGTATAATATTTTAATTAAAAGTTGCAGAATTTTCTTTAATTTTGTAAAATGCTTGGAACTCTGATTTTTGGGGTTTTTATTGTAGAACTAACCATATTTTTATAAAAAGTTTGTGAAAAATAAAATAATTAAAAACAGTTCCCCGTATCGCTGTACCTAAACTTTATTGATTGACTCTATGTTTACGAAATGTTGACTTACATACATTTTAGATAAAATAAAGTAAGATACTCTTAACCATAAAAAAGATAATTTTCTAATTCTACAGTAGTTACTCTAGGATTGGTAAAATCGAAGTCTAAAAAATTTGAGAAGTTTGTTGAAGAATCGTTGTCGTCAATCTCAACTAAAGGAGAGCACAGGAAGCATTCTCAACTCCAACTGGGTTTGTGCATAGGGACAGAGGTGTTAACTGAGTGGGGTTTGTGAGGCATGTGACTCGTTGGTTACATCTACATCTAATCTGCTCAGTTACGAGTTTAGCCTGCTGCAGCAGCCTGAGCGAATTTGAGTTANCAGCTCAGTTACGAGTTTAGCCTGCTGCAGCAGCCTGAGCGAATTTGAGTTATTGTTGTGCGAGTCTCCCGAGGCAGACGAAGCTCTGTCTGGTCCGTTGCGTTCCCAAAACGGCGTTCTCAGGATGAGGGTCAGTGTAAGTCAATACTGACTTCCTGTGAATGTCGTTTATAACCTGTCGGTATGCTGTCGGGTTCAGCGGTTGCTTTATGAACCTCTAACCTTCGTCCGTATATGGTGTTGCGGCGACATCATAACGTACTCGGTGGCTGTCCGTAGCGCCGTATTTTGGCGACCTCACAGACTCTGCATAGTTTAGAACTGGCCGGCCAATTGTCTTGTATGTTGCCAGCAACGATTCTTTGGTTTTGCCCCAGGTGCTGCCGGCCAGCTACTTATGGACCTCATTGCGGCTCTATACTCTATTGTTAATTGCGGTTGTATGCGCGGATAAGGAAAGCAGAATTACGAAGGAAACTCTGAGAATGTTTCTTTTGTTATTCACCGTCGGAATTTGCACGCTATCGACGTCAATTCCCAGATGTAGTCTGACCTCATTTGTAGGGGAGAGGGTTAGGCTCCTTGTAGTGAATTAGCAAGAAAGGTCAGAGAGGTGACTGTTTACTTTCGAGCACAAGTGATCAATTCTATTCCCAGACGCCATTATCGAGCAGTCGTCAGCATAAGACACAATATAGACACCCCCTGGTGGTTGACGGAGCTTTGAAATACATATAGAAATTAAACACCTGCGGGGAAAGGAAGCCACCATGTGGAACCCCCAGTTTTATTATCCTCGGTTTCTATCTCAATAGATCATTTTAGGAGCTGAGGGCTTCGTGAGAGTCAAGAGGACTTTCACTCTGCATTCCTTTCTCCTTATCAACGCGAATTTATACAAGGTGGTATCGGTTGATCAAAACAAAAATTATTTTTTAAATCTTTTGTAATGCTAAATAATATAAGCTTATACATTTGCATAAATTGTCAATACGAAAAGCCCTGCTAGAAGGCATGCATGTAAGGCCTCTTTTCCATATCTCTTGGGTAAATGTTTTAGAATAGTTTCACATAAGAAAATCGATCTTTGGATGTTTTTTTTAACAAATGGGCACACCGACTGTTTTTTTTTTTAAGGAGGAGTACAAATACATCCATATATGTTTTTTTATGGCAAAAATACTATCTGAAATTAGTCATTGCGCCACCACTTTACTGCCGATCTTTTTTGACGTCTAAAGTGTAGTGCCTGGCAATTTACTGGCCGCCTAGCATTTTTAACTTTTTTACCAAACTTAGCGACACAGTAAACAACCCACCATTCGATTATTTTTGTACCCGTAATGCCACCCTATACAGTATGGTTACGTAGGAATTCGAAATAATGTGTGCTCGCCTATTCGCCACATTTACTCGTGCTTTTGTTTTCCCGCTCTTGCTGACTTGCTCTATCCATTGACGCTGCGATGTAAAGACGCGCTTATGAACTGCAGCTGCCGCCGCAATTTGACAAGTGTAAACTAGTTGGATGTAAAAAGACGAACTTCGTGTGAGCATTACATTGAGACATCACAAAATTGAGAAACAAAAACCAAAATTAAGTACATGTGTTGAAATGAAATGAAATGAAATGTTATTGACAACAGTTAGCCATAGTAATTAATTATAAATATATTGAGAAAAACTCGCAACACTTCAGCTTCACATAAGGGCACAAGATAAGCAAAAGAACGTCATACTTTACTAGCAAAGTAGGGCTGAGCAAGTAGGCTTGTGTAGTGAGAGGCCAAGATGTTATTGAAATGATACCCAAAGATTTTCAGCGCAATTTAAGTTAATACATTGTAACAAGTGAAGAATTTCACATGGGAAATTACTAGCCAGAAATTGTGCTCGGTGGCGAAGCCTTTTATCTGTAGCTATTTGGAGTGTGGCTGTTGTTATTTTCGCTGCCGTGTGACTTTGATTATTGGTATGTATGTTTGTTGTACCGCCAGCACATCCATACATAAACATACTACGAAAATCTAGCATACGAATATATGGACATCCATATACATATGTATGTATGTATCTATGAGTATGACTAATTTTGTTGTTTTCGTGCTTCCAGGCAAACTCGTTAAGATTTTGAGACCAAAGGATATCAAACAAGAGACAATTGGTAGTGGCGATTCAACAACCATAAGAGCTGTGCATTTGAACAGCGCAAGTGGTAGTTCACTTAAGTCTAGTGCAGGCTCATATACACAGTTGGTAAGTACAAAGTACCTACATTCATATACTTTACTATGCTTAGGGAGAGAGAAAAACTAAAAAATGAAATTAAAAAGAAAAAGGTTCGGTTGGAAAAAAGTGGTAAAAATATATTAATGGATTGTTAAATAATACCGTGGATGTGGTACGTTGCTTGTTAAATTGCGGAATGTTGATGACGTTACTACGCCGGTGGGTGTGCAGCAATACCGATACAAAAGGCGTGGAGACTAATGATAGCTTAGTGGAATATCAGCTGGTTGACCAACCTCTTTTGAATATAATCGGTAGAATCGGTTTTCCTATGAGGAATGTTTTGCAAGACTTACATTAATAAGAAAAAGTTTTTATTTTTTAATATAGTTAGTTCACACTATAAAAAACTGTAAACCTACTAAAAAAAGGTTCCAAACTTTGTATAAGATTTAAAAAAAATCATCCAAATTTTTTGAAAAATTTCGAGTATGCAATTTATAGGCCATTCAATTTTAATATAACAATGTAAGAGTTTGACGGAAAAATGCGCAACATCGTACGAAAAAAATTCACAAAAATTAAATTGTACTTTATTATACTAAAATTAAATGACCTAGAAAGCTGGCTAATCAAAATTTTCCTAAAAATTTTATTTAAAAAATTTAAAATTTTTACAAAAGTTTTAAGTTACAAAAATATATTTTTTATAAACTTTTAAAATTTTACCTTTTTGTTTGATGTTGGTGGTAAATTATTCGAGGCCGCCTTGCAAACATGTACATACATATATATATATATATATATATGTAGTATATATAAAGACATATATAGAATTGAACGAATTACTTATTTTTGTTTAGTCTACTTGGATTTTTCTGTAGAAGATTTATAGGAAAGAATTTGAAAGCTTTTTTTTTGTCGTAGCCAGGCACAAAATAACTCGTGCAGAAATTTAAATTTCTACATTACAACAAAAAACGTTTGAAAAGCTAGAAAATACTGAGGGTCGAGCTTCGAAAATACAAAAATTGAGTGGCATTCAAAAATATCATTAGAAGATAATGGGAAGGATATTAGTAAATGCCCAACTATGTCTTCAAGATTAGTGTCAGTTCAGTTCTAAGTAGATACCCGTCATTAGTAAAAACAAGTAGTTGTAGTGAAGATTTCATAAGTCCCCTTTCAGACACGTCAAGTCTTGAAAGCAATTTTTTTGCATTCTCTTTTGTGGTTTCTGTTTGCTTCCAGACGCGTCAACTTTTATTGAATTTAAGTTCTTGGTTCTTTAAATGGGAAGCAGCGAAAAGATCTAAAGATACAAGAAAACTTGAAACGAATTGACGGTACGGAGGTACTCGTACTCTTCCCCTCTCTTCTCAACTAGCAGACCTGAAAGCAAGACTTGACGTGTCTGAAAGCTGACTAACTGATTCACAATAATTTAATCTCCCATCTGTTTTGCTTCATTTAAAATAAATTTATGTCTATAGCTTGCATAATTTTAATAATTTTTCCATATTTTCAGGCTACGTCGAGTCAACAACAATATTTGAGCCGTTACAATATACAAGGTGGAGATAGTAAGTTTAAAAAGAAATTTTAATAGATTTTAATGCGATTTTAATTTGCGCTCCAATATTTTTTTTCCTTAGGTAACACATACACCGTTATATCAACACAAAATAGTGTCGGCAATCAGCAACCGGCATTTACAACTATAAAATACGAAACTCCAGAAACGGTAAACTTGTGGCTGCCAACATAATCATTACACATTTTACAAATAATAAATATTACGCAATTCCAGGTCACCGTGAAAACGGAAGAGCGCTACACAAAATACACACCAAATAACAATACAAAAATGAAATCAAAACTGTAAGCCATTTAATATACACGTAATTTTTGAACTTTCCTTGTTCATGTGTTTACTTCTACTACAATAGCCACACTACCAATAGCCCCCATACGAACTCAGCACGAAGGCAACGTAAACCCGAAAAGGCTGGTAAAGGTTTGCGACATTTCGCTTTAAAAGTATGTGAAAAAGTGAAGGAAAAGGGCGTCACTACTTACAATGAAGTCGCCGATGAATTGGTCGCTGAAGAATTGCACATCAATGCCGTAGATTCAGCGAATTGTGATCAAAAGAATATACGTCGGCGTGTTTATGATGCGCTCAACGTACTTATGGCCATGGAAATAATATCGAAAGACAAAAAGGAAATACGCTGGATTGGATTGCCATCAAATTCGGCTGAGGTATGTATTTATAGCGACTTTCTTTAAATATACATACGGTGACTAACACAGAATTTTCAAAGTTTTTCATTCTAATTTTTATTCGATATTCTATACATATAAAAAAAATTTAACATGCCGATCTCTGTACATTATAGATATTAAAGAAAAATTAATATGGGGCCTTTATTAGAGCAATAGAAGCCAAATCAACAAATTTAAAATTTTTGTCTGTCTGTCCATCTGTCTGTATGTTTCTAAGCGCATTAATCGAAATCTAATGCAGAAACATGAAAGCAGTTTTCACCGATGTATTGCTAGTGGTCTAAATTAAAATATAAAAAGAGAAAAATTACAGAGTTGCCTACTGTTTGAAAATTATAGTTCAAGCTAGGCCGCTATTATGATTCACAACTTTCAAGATAGTTGAGTTGTAAGTTGTAAATTGTAGTTGGACACAACTCAACTCAGCTTTGAAAACGTAGTTGTCTGTTAGTTGTCTTGCACTAGCATGCTCGGTGTCAACGGTAAAACATAATTCGTAACTTTTAACATAACATTTTTTTGCTTTTAATTATTTTAATATCATTAAAATAACATAATATTATGAAAATAACAAAATTTGTATCGAATTTCCGAATTTTTCAATGGCTACAGTCAACTGAAAAGAGTTGTGAACGGCAATAGCAATAAATAGTTGAGTTGTATTGAATAGGTGCCTGAATTGATAAGATAAAGTAAATATTGTAATATGTCTGTAAAAAAAAAGAGGTTTAAGAAGGCTTACAGCCGAAAATATTTTTGTGGAGGGTGTCATAAGTTTAAAAATTTTAATTTAATTTTATTGATAAGATAAATTAAATATTGCAATACGGATATCAAACTAAGAAGCCTAGAAAAGTTGACTGCTGAAGATATTTTTGAGAATTGTTTCCACCTGTTTGAAATATTTTATTTGATTAAATTGATAAAATAAATCAAATATTACAATACTGGTATCAAATCACACAAAAATTCTTTTTAGTGAAGCACGAGTATTTGCTAGTTTTTTATAAATATATAGTTTATACACAAAAATATATAGTTCATACACAGAAAACATAAAAAAAGAATCTAAGCTTTTTGAAAAGCTCAGGAAAATTCAATAAAGTTGTATACGAATTCATACCTTTTTATTAAGGTTTTATACACAAATTCTAAGTAAAAAAAAAATCGACTACAAAACTACATACTTAGAATAAAAAAAAAAACCCGAAACGCTTGCAAATTAGCCTGCAAATTTATTGAATTTGCTGAGTTTATAGCACAAAGTTTAGAGATTTTAGTTTTATGTTCTTTGGTTTAGTATAAACTAAATTTTTATAAAAAATTATGGAAAACTAATTAGAATGAAAAACTTTGCATATGTATATTGGGAAAAATTCTCTGTGCCAATACATTTGTTCGTCACCGTATCTACATATATGTGACCTGGTCTACGGAAAGGGGGCTTAGGTGTCATAAAATCAATTTTCACTTTTTGGTTGATTCGGATGGAAGATGAGATGCTTTTTCACGTGGTGAAAAGCAGAAAATCCTAACTTGCTTAGAAGTGTACTAAAAATGTAGAGAAAGAAGAGTAAAAATACGACAAAATATAATTTATTGGTAATGAACAAAATACATTGAATTATAAGCTTTAAAGACATAATTATACACTAGAAAAACGTATTATGGGCCAAAAATAATAATGCTGAGTAGTTTATGTATTTTTCTTTGTTGTCGTTTTCCTTGAGATCTTTTTACGTGTTGATCCTGAGGAAGATGGACCTGGTTCCTCGTTTGGTTTGAGAACATCTTCACTAGTTTTTGCCTTCCGTTTCTTCGATGGCAAATCTTTCGGCAATGGAGCCACAATATCTACTTTAGATATATCCGAAACTAAGCTGCGAAGATTGTCCGTATACGGCACTGAACTCCTCATCAACACTCATGTTTCATTTCATGCGAAATGCGAAGACGATAATCAACAGAAACAGTAAACGTCACTTCTTCAGTGTTACTTTTTTAAATGTTCCACACTAGCAACTTACACGATGAACTATAATAATATTCCGACCAACAACAACACTTACTGGACCAACAACAACACTTACTGGACGTCCGGCGCGGAGAACAATTAACGAGATAATGAGAAACTGACGAAACGAGTTGCTTACTTTTAACAGCTTTTTCACAGAAAACTAGTTTTCGCACGTAAGCTCCCTTTTCGTAGACCAGGTCACATATACATACATATGTATATATGTACATATATATGTAGGCACATGAAATGTAATTTTAAAAACAATTTTGATTCTCGCAGCAATGCTCTGAGCTGGAAAAACAAAATGAAGAGTGTCGTCAACGCATACAGCAGAAACATCAACAACTGAATGAACTTTTGCTACATCAAGTTGCCTTTAAGAGTCTGATCGAACGCAACAAAGAAGCGGAACGACAAGGCAATGTGCCAACGCCCAATTCTTCAATACAGCTACCCTTTATCATAGTTAATACGCACAAATCGACAAAAATTAATTGCAGTGTTACGAATGACAAGTGGGTTTATTCGAAATTACTTGAAGCTGGGAAATGGATAATGATATATGTATATATATGGTTTTTTAATTTGTTAGATCGGAATATATTTTTAAATTCGATGATCAGTTCGAAATGCACGATGATGCCGAAGTACTGAAACGTATGGGCTTACTTGGTGGTAAGTGGAATGAAATAATTTCTTATAGTTTTTCTTACTCGAATGCCTTTTTTGAAAGCAACTTGTGCGTTGCATTTTTTCAATCACTTCCAATTAAAAAAGTTACCATACCGCTCCAAGTGTTAACGAAATTCTTAGGAGAAAGATTTTATTTTTTTAAGGACTAGACCCTTTGAGATTATTTTAATTTTTATGCATCGTTTGATTGCTTTAACTTTAGCACTTATTTATTAGCTTTTAAGTCAAGCTTTTAAACCCTTTTATATGAATATTACAATTTTTTGATTTCTTTGCGAAAAATGAAAAATGTATGACTTACGTAGTGATGACGGTTCATTCTCCATGAGACCGAACTGTTTCCAGCAATTGGATAATAGGAAAATACATACATATATAATTGTTGTAGCTTGAAATACGAAAAAAACATGGCAAGCTATTTAAAAAAATTTAATATTTGTATAAGCATTAAAAATTATGAAACTATTCGCTAGTTATCGTTGGTTATAAATACATATGTACAACCAAAATATGTACATATAAGCAACAAAGTAAATTTACAGTTCGAAACTTCGTCCATTTATGTCTGCGAAAAAATTTCGGCGGTTCGTGTAGAAAGTGGCAGACTCGCCTTCTTCTTAAATGTTGAAGATTGAAAGATATGAATTAAAAAAGTTAATTTGGCATAGAAAATTGCATTATTTTTCAAGTTTCACTGTTAAGTGTTTTGGTTTTTATTGTTTTGCCTGATTGCACAATATTGATCAATGAGGTTAATCTACAAACATGCATAAGTACATATAATTTATTTCTTTATTATTTATTCTTAAAAAAAAAAAAAAAAAAGGTTTAGATAAAGGCCAATGCTCACACGAAGAGATTGAACGTGCAAAGAACTTGGTCCCACCGAATTTCGAGAAATATATTGAAGGTATGTAACCACAATGTATATGAGTACAAACAAATGTGTAATATACTAATTTTTTTTTTTCGCAGCCTATGGCAATGGCAAAGGACTGGCATGCAATTCCGATGATGATACCATGAGCGGCTTCGCTGAACTAACTAATGATTCCTCAATGCATGGGTATCCGCGTGCTGGTGGTCGTCGCGGTGGTGGCGGTGCTAAGGCTGGTGGCCTGCGCGACGGCGATGATGATGATGAAGATTTTTTGGAAAATAGCGATATTGATTGAGGCGAATTCATGGTTGCGTACAATAACAGCAACAATACATACAATTACAAAGAAAGCAGCTGCACCAGCAACAATAACAATAATCATTATATATGCAACAAAGCAACAACAACAAGCGAAGGTCTTTCTATCGGTGGTAGCAAGCTAAATCAGCAGCGTTATTTAAGTGCTGCCGCTTATGGAATTTGTAGTGCCAATGACTTGGATTGCGGTGTAATTTCCGAAACTGATCAGCAAGCATTGCAACAATCGCAATTACGTTTGGCTGCTGCATCCAATGCAGGGAGCCTAAACGTCGCCGATATTAGTAGCCATTTAACAGAAGATTCTTTTAGTTTTTCATTCATTTCAGCTTTATTAGGCTTGCATTAGAGGAGCGCATATTAGAGAAAACCTGTTAAAATATGTTACTGCATTGTTATATTGTTTATTTGACTGATCATTTGTTTATTATGCGCACTTTTATTCTTACTGTCGCCAGTATGTGTTGTGCGCCTTGAACAGTTGAAGTGATTGCATTACTGACGCAGCTGTTGAATGTATTTTGTATGATCCCATTCTCTACAAGGGAAGGAACGGCAAACCCTTTATCGATTTCTAAGTCTTTTGCTTATCTTTATTTTTTAATTATTTACTTACATATGTATTTGATTTTGCATTTCGGGTTTGCAAATATGTATTGAATTTTTTTTATGTGCATACTTCTTTGCTGTTTATATATATTTTTTTTTGCAGAAAAGGGGTGTGACTTCAAAATGTGATGAGTTGTACATGTCATGCATGAATATGACAAATATTTGGTGCAGAAAATTTGTTTATTAAATTTTTTAGCATAATTGTAAATTAGACGACGTTTTAGCACTGGCCAATACAAGAAAGGAAAAATATTTATAATTGTGGTCAACGTATTTAATTTTTAAAAAATGTAAACCCTCTTTAGGGACACTAAAATATTATTTTCTATACATAATAAATATGATGATGATAAACGGTAAATTCATTTTTTTACATTTAGTTAAAATGTTCAAATGTTTGGTAAATATTCTTACATATATGTACATTTACATATGTACGTACAGGCGGCCGGCGTAGGCTTTATCATTCGGTGCGCCTGATCAGTGCAACAAAATTATGAACCTCGGCAGGTAATGGTAAGCCCCGAGTGTGTTTCAAGCATACAAAAATCTCATGAAATCCCTGTTGACAAGTTTGAGATGCTTGTCCAAGCGTTTATACAATTTTTTGAGTTCAGTTTCTAATTTATTGGTATACAAATTCATGTGTTTTCTAAACAATGGAGCAAATTTAAAAAGAAGAGTATAAACATATTTATTAGGTTGTGGTTGTCGCTGTAGCGGCTACTAAACCCCGCTCGAATCGGCTCATCCATCAACGTTGTCTGGTTCAGCTATGGGGAGGCCCAGGAATTGAGCAATTTCAACAGGTTCTGTTCATTGAGACAGGGGCAGATATTTAGTAGGTGGTTTTATCTCAAGAACGTCAGTAATATATGTTCGTTTGCGTAATACCATAATCTCAACCGTAGACTACCAAGAACTTGGCAATTGATTAGATTCACGAAAATCCAAGAATTTTGTGTTAAATAATAATCTGGCAATTTGGCACGACAACACTTCTATGCTGTCTTCATAATAACCTGGCGTTTTAAGGGTCTTTCAAAGATTGTTGTCATTGAAAGGAACAGGTCCTGTTAATTCCAAAAAAAAAGATAGGGATGGAGACCTCACGTCATTTAAAATTTTTCCTAATTTAACACGATCCCATCTGTCGAAATTTTGTTGAGGAATCGTTTTTAAATAAGCTTCGGGAATATGAATATGAAAAATAAATAAGTTTTCTTATTAATCAAAATTTCCGGGCAACCCCAAAAATCCAGCTTTCATCCAGTTGTCATCTGTAATACGTTTTCAGCCGCTGAAAACGCAACAGAAGTTCGGTGGCCAACCGTTTTCCCTTATTTTATTTTTCTTTTATTTGCCTTCCACTGTTCCACTGACTGATGCTTAAACGTCGTTACAGCATTTACATATGTATCGAAATTTACTTTTTTCGGCTGATCTATCACACCCCGAAAACTGCACAAGCAATATTTTTTTTAGCTTTTCTTAAATTTATATTTTATGCTTTTTCAACATACATACATATGAATGTATAAAATATGTTAAAATAAAAATTTCCTCATGAGTAGTTTTATTAAGTTTTGGTAATTAAACAAGTAATTTTTAAGCAAAAAACAAAACCGACTTCAATTCTATTTATAAAAATTTAAGATTATCGTTAAATTTCTTATGATTCCGTGATCTGAAATAGTATGGGACCACCTGTGAGGTAACACCTTTATGGCAATCGGTTAATGTGGTCCAATGTTATGCGGTAACATACATAAACCAAAAAAAAAATATTCCGGGGAATTGATAACCTTTCTCCTTTTTGTGAAGTCGGTTAAAAAGATAACCATTAACCACACTAAACTAAAAGAGTAAAATGTTGATTGAAGTCGGTTGAAATGCGCTCTAAGGGCGGATTCATCGCTCTAGTTCTGAACTTGTTCTTTCATATGGTGGTTATATTTCACTCTCTGTGAGAGAAAGGCAACAACAACCATATGGAAGAAAAATTCTGAACTAAAACGATGAGTCGGCCTTAATATTTATATATACATATGTAGTTTTAATTACCTTTAAATAAAGGCAAGTGAGAAAATCATATGTAAGAAAAAAATTAATAATAGTGAATAAATTCATATTTCATAACAAAAACATTTTTAATATATAAGAAAAATTTAAAAATTTGGCGTGCGCAGGTACGTTCAAGAGTAGCTTTCGCATAACGGCGGTAATAGCGAATCCTTAAAAAAAAAAAGTATGTTCGCTTTGCAAGTCTTGATTGAGCCTAAGCTACTTAACACAGCTTATCTATCTCTACAAACTCTTTTTACCATTTCCATTAATCAAGATTCGTTTTGTTTTGCTTTAATGTTTTTAAGCACTTTTAAAACTCTTAAAAAAAAAAAAAAGATTTATTCTCTTTGCTTTTTTGCTTCCCAAGCATAATCGTCAATATATGAGGCATATTTTCTGATCATTTTTAGTAAGTAAAAAAAGATTCATAAAACATAAAAGGAGGGAATAAATTGGATACATGATCGATTTGCCAGAGCTTATCAGCAAATATATTAAAACATTTTTAAATTAGATTTGAATAATAAAAAGGAAGTAGTTGTATATTGCGTAATAAAAGCAAAACAATAGAAACAAATAAATCAATATTTGCTATTGGAAAATTAATTTAAATGTTTAAACCAACATGGAAATATGAAATTTTCAAGAAGAGACAACACAATTGCATACTTTGTACGCGTCGACAACATTGAACTGACATATAATGAAATGAGTTGGAAAAATAAAGTGTACTATTATATCGACTTCGATTTATAAAAAGTAAAAAATAACCTTTGTTTTAATATATATATGCATATTGTCGTTTAAAGTGCAAAACTGCTTATCAACAAAATGCGAAACCGCGTATCAGCAAAATGCAAAGCCGCGTATGTGAAGTTTTGCAGAATTACGATACGCGGTTTTGTACTTTAAACGACGATATGCATATCATCGTTTAAAGTACAAAACCGCGTATCGTGATTCTGCAAAACCGCGTAACTGACATTGGCTGCCAAAAATTGGATTTGCTCACACAAGCTCTTGGCTCAATCCTTATCCATTCGTCCTGAAATATACTAGGCAGATATGCGATTGCTTTATAAAAAAGAGAACCATTTTGAAATATGAGTGTTTTTACTATCTAGAAAATAATTTATACAACCTCACATACGCGGCTTTGCATTTTGTTGATAGGCGGTTTTGTACTTTAAACGACGATATCTACTATGTATGGGGGTGAATTTCCGCGAGTTTGAACCGCGTTTTCTGCAATTTGAAGTTTCTTACATTTTTTGGTTCAAATCTCACTGTCTCCTTGTCTCAAAAGGAAAATGAGTTGCAGAATAGTTACCCTGAGTGAAGTCCTGTATAATATTGTATACTTTACTAATCACGACTTGAAACTATGTTGTTGTAGCAGCATACAAGCTCCCCAAAGAGTTTTTAGGGAGTGTTGCTGGAGTGACAGTCCTTGGCCAAATATAAATCTGGGTCGTTCCGGTTACGTAGACCCGACTGTCGTGGGAAAGACTTGAAATACCTGCCCTCTCAATTGCTTTTAATTTTCTCAAAAACAACACACTTTCATAAAGTAGTTTTCAGTTTATAGTATATATGTATTTATATATTTTTTATTTCATTCTTAGGGCTTTGCAATAATAAATCCTTAAAGCAATATCAAATAAACCAAAAACCTATACAAACCAAAACTTAAAGATATGAAGCAAAAATGTTCGCTTGTGTATAAAATTTTGCTCGCTTTTTTTATAACACCCATTTAAGTTAAAACAAATACATTATTGGCAATTCTCAGTACTTAACTTATACATTATACACTAACTACAAAAAAACTGGAATTATTTGACAATTTATAAATATACAGAATTGGCTTAAGATAACAAAAAGTAAAATCGGGTTAAAATTCATCAAATTATACTTCACTGCTACCACTTGCAGCTAACATCGCAGCTGTGCTGGATGGACCCACAGGCTGCGGTGCGATGTCGAAATCTGGCACATCTAAAACATTACCCTTTTGCTGCATTACGGGCGGTGCACGAAAAGATGCTGTTGATAAGTCCATTAACGACGGTTGTGGTTCGGTGTTTATTTTTGGTTCTTTCTGCGTCATACTTTTCATCATAGGAAGCTGCTGCTGAATGTGTTGTTGTTGCAGTTGTTCTTCCCGCAACTGTTGTGGGCTCTTAACATAATTTATTGGTATTATACCAACACTCTGACGATCCACGGTACAGGCAGTTGCCCAGCCAGTATTTAGCATGCCTAGGGTATTCTGTATCTCCTTCGGTGCAATCAGTAGTGGTTGATTGCATTGTATACTCAACTCACTGGGATTTCTTGCTTGAAAATCATACATTGCGATTGTTTCTATGGGATTCATCCATTTGGTTGGATTTCGTGCTGCAAAAGGTAGAAAACGATTAAAATATAAGCCGTATCTAATCTAAAGTTGTTTTAAGATATTTATAAACACATGTTTAAATTGCGCGATAAGGCTGCTACTAGGGGCAATATGTGTCGTATAAATCTATACATATACATACATATGTACATGCACACACATATATACATACATACATATACACATAGATAAAATAAAATCATTGCAAATGCATACCCTCTTCCTGTGCAGTATTTGTTACTGTGCCCAAGAGCCTCATTATTAGATATGGTGCTGTAAAAATGAAGCTTATAAAAGCCAGTACTGGCCATGGTGATTGACCCTTGCGTGGTAGCTTAGGGGCGCCTGGTTGTTGTGATGAATCATTTAGAGCCTCAGCAAAAGCTTGCTTGAATTTTTCGCTTGATGGATCCATTTCCGATAAGCGCAGCCAGTAAAGTATTCTACGGAGAATGAAATTTTTAGTAAAAACAGCCTAAATAACATTCACACTAACTTCTTATATATCCATGTTAATCCACGATATACGGCAAATGTCTGCCAAAATTGTGCGAATACACCACGCAAGCGTCCAAAGTTTGCTGCCACGCCCAATATTGCACGGAATGAGCTAGTGAGTGCAAAAAATGTAGAATCCAACATTGCAGCTATGTTTCCAATGGCTGAAACAAGCGATTCAATACTTTCGAACGCAGGTCGGGAGCTAGCCTCAGCCAATTGTATGAAGCGCGTCTCAGGATCCATCGGATTAATGCCTCCCATACCAAAACGATTGTATGCGCTGCCAAAACCACCACCGTAACCTCCATACGAACCAAAGCCACCAAAGCTACCATAACCACCATATGAACCAATAGCGTTGCCTATTCCATTATAACCCGCATAACCACCATATCCGCCAAAACCGGTATTAGCATTGTAGCTACTAGGGATCACACCATAAGGTGACTGGGGCAGTGGTGGTGGTTGCAATGATCGTACATTACCAGCGAAGGGTGTACGTAGTTGTGTGTCGCTGGTGCCTCCCATCATGCTAACTCCAGCTCCAGCTGCTATACCAGACGGAGGTATTAGATTCGGTTCAACCAGCACCGGGCTTCGGAAGTTATTGGCGCTGTCACCGATATCGACCATGGTTTCAGAGCCCTTTGGTCGCCAGCTAATTTACGTACCACTTGGACTTTGAGCTAAATCCTCTACGTTGACTTTATCAATGCTCTTGATTCGCGTACTAAAAAGCTAACATACAGTACTTATTTGTTTTGCGAGTCAAACTTATTTTTTTTTTTTATAAACTAGATTGTAGTACAATAAAAATATTTTTTAACAAAAACAATGGCCTAAAAAACCACTGGACTTTTTAACAAATCCACAGAATGACAGTCCGTAGGATGACAGATTACTGAAAATTTAAAAAATGTGCTGCCAGCTACCATAAAATGTCACATAACTAATTAAAGTTAAACTGTTGCCAGTCAGATGTACATATTTTTCGCGATATATGATCTCACGACATCTTATTTGTGAAAATTGTCGTGTTTTTGTTCTTGGTTCCCAGGTAGAGAATGTTTTTCCCAGCTTTGACGTCTCGATTCCAGCATGCACCACATTTTGGGCAAAATTGGCACCTGTGGGGCGATTTGGTAGTCAGGTTTATGTTGTAACACTCGGAAAGTTTGGTTGTTCTGAATTCATTAACCATCAGAATATCTGCATGCCGTTGTTTTAGTGCTGCGATTAGTAACCTATTAGGTACTCGCCTATATCCGCATATATGTGAGTTTGAAGCAATTTTGGTGGAACCTATACATATCAATGTACTCTCTTTTGTGTTTGCATACCAGAATTTTTTAAAGAATTTTCTTTAAGAAATCGTTCAGAAATTTCTTTACTAATTCTCGTCAACCACTTCATATTGGGCTTGTTCGAGCTATGTAATAAAAGCGGCATAACTGCCGTACTGATGAAAATTTGCAACACTGTTGCAACTGCCCAACTGATAATAGGTTTGTTCGTCGAGCAAAAAATTTGTACGAATTTGTACGAATTATCACGATCTTTGCCCAAATCGCGTTCGTGCAGACCAAAAAATTATCCAACACTCAAAAATTGTGAGAGCAAAGTGACAGTTCTCTTGGAGAGAAGTTGCAAATTCTTGCTGGAAAAAATTTTGCCAGCAAGAATTTGCAAACACGAAAAACATGTGGTTGTGGCGCATGGTTGCATTTTTGTCTACAATAATTTGAATAAATTAGTTCGTTAAATTTAAAAATTTATAAACACGAGCGATTTTTTTATGAAAAAAGGAAGTAAATAATTGTTGATATAATTAATTTAGTTAATTCCAATGATTTGAACTTAATTCGGCTGAAAAAAATGGTATTCGCAATCGGAATGCAATTGCAACCAGAGTCGATTTAAGAAACCCGACAGCTAGTACGATGAAGAAATTGAAATGTATGTCAAAGAAAGTCAGAACAACAAGAAATATACATGTATATCCTGTTTTTGGCCATCCGAAAGAATTTTAAAAATTCTATAAAAAATTTTTATGTTTGAAATGCAACCGAGGACGCCAGCTGGCAGCGAAACCTTGCAAATTCCTGCAAATTTGCGTTCGTGCAGAAATTTGCAAGTTTCTCAACATGAGAGAGAATTTGAGAGAATTTTTTCTTACTCTCTGATATTTTGAGTGTTGGATAATTCTTGCTGGATTTTCGACGAACAAACCTAATACGTTGCTAGAAATTCACACAGAACGTAATCACAAAGAACGTAAAGCTATAAGAGGAGACAAGACGTTATAATTGTAGCGAGTGTGAAATCAGGAGCGTGCCTTCTCTTTTCATCCAATCAAAATACGTATTTGGGCAAAAGAGAAAGCACGCTCCTGATGTTTCCACTCGTTACAATTATAACGTGTTGTCTCTTCTTATAGATTTACGTTCTTTGGTAATCATGATCAGTGTTGCCAGAACTTTTTGGGCCGACCGGCTAGATTGGCAAAAAAAAGCGGCTAAAAAGGGCTAAAATGTTTTAGTGAAAATTCACATGCTTTATTTAAATAAATCGCAAGAAACGAAAGACTACTTAACACCATTAATTTATATCGAGTGTATATTCCTCATCATCAAATGAATCACTATTGTTTATATCTCCTGAATTCTTTAATTTTAAGAGATCGTCATCTACAGTAAAATTATGGCAGCATTTTACTTCACGTTTTAAACCGTATCTTATATATAAAATAGCGTTTAACGTTTTAACGCACATTGGATTTCTTTGCTTAGATTTTATTATATTCATTGAACTAAATATTCGCTCTACTTCCGCATTACTTATAGGCAAAACAAGAAAACTAAAATCTAGGTTGGAAGGGTCAGCAAAAGGGTTTTCTCCTAGGGCATTTCGAAATTGATAAACTTCGGTCCAAAATTTTACAGTTGAGTCTAAATTACTCCAGGTATGTAACGTTAACCGTTGCCATTGCATCTTTATGGATGTTATTTCGTCGGCATTATATTTGTGTTTTTGTTGCTGTAGTTGGACAAATACTTTTGGTTTAATTACTCTTAATGCATTTCCAACCGAAAAAAGTCAATTTTTTTTAGTGTGGCAATATTTGTAGGGAGGCGTTGGCGTAATTCCTTTATTAAAGTGATAATAAAATAGCGACCATTTTCTCGAATTATTTTCTCGGCTTCGTGGTCAAAAGCGTTTGTGCTTACTTTTGTTTTTAAATACTCTTCAAAACTGTGATAAAACTGAGGAAATGGAGCAAGTTATGGTTCCATTATATAGCATATAGGATCAAATGTGTCCGCGCTAATAACCACTAGGGAGCATAGATGCGAAAGTAAAACATTGAGTTCATTAAAAATCTTCATTGGGTCTGCATTATTGCTTTCGAACAACTTGTTTACTTTTTGCACCTGAAAATTAGGCAAATAGTAAAATCGGCTAAAAACGGCAAACTTTTTTTTACAAACCGGCTAACAAATCGGTTGCCGGCTAGATCGAATTTTCTCCGGCTAGTTGCTATCAAAACCGGCTAAATCTAGCCGGAAAACGGCTAAAATGGCAACGCTGATCATGATGCAATAGTACAAGGTGGTATCAGTTGTGACAGCTCGATTTGACACTACCTTAGCTCAGTAGAATGAGAAGAAAAACGGGAACAAATTAATCCCCATATGGGGGAAAAATATAAAATTTCACATTTTCTCCTTAACAAAATTTGCTTTTTTATATTGTATTCGTTATGAAATTAAATAAAATAAGATAAGTTAAGAAAACAAAGTGTGTATACTGAGAAAAAATAAAAAGCATTCAACTATATTAATGGGCAAAGAATAGTGAAAGAAGTAACACTGTTTCACGTAAGGTAGTCAATATGGCGGAATTAGAGCGAGAAGTTGCCAACTGATAACACCTTGTATTATTGCATCATGGAACGTAATGATTGCAACTCGAACAAGCCCATTGTTTTCCTTAAATACTCCTAAATTAATCGTAAAAAAATTCCGATACTCTGAAAGATTTCGGGAGCATTTATTTGCAGGGTATATCACGATAATCGAATTTTTAAATCGATATTCCAGGGTAGATATATCGAAGACATCGATACTTTGCTTGCATTATCGATATTTAAGTTGAAATTAATTTTTCATCTACAAAAAATTTAAAGGGTTCTTTATTTTGCTGATCGATTACATATAGCCACTTTAAAGATAAATGTGCCCTTTACTTAAATACCCAAAATGAAAATTTAAATGACAAAGGTCCCTTTTGTAAGAAAAAATATAAGTACGTCATTTTCGTAGTTATAATTACATATTTATGACAATGAGATGATGCAATTTTGCATTGATCAGCATTGCCAATTTTTTTTTCCATTTAAATGGATATTTTGTTATTATTCAATTGCCATTGTATTATGAAAACACTTCTGGTTTAAAGTACGTTTAAATGCCACTTTAACTAAAAGTAAACTTTTGTAAAAGGAACATAAAGGCTGCGTTTCTTTATACATTCCGGATAATCTCATTTCACAGCCGGAATAAACAGAATGTGTTTGAAATATACGTTAACATATCATCAGGAACGTTCTAAAGAATAAGTAAACAAAAAAGTTTATTCCAAACGTTCAGAATGAATAAAGAAATTCAGCCAAAGTGTTTCATTATGAAATCGGCCCTAAAGTAGGTTTAACCGGCAGCCTGCGTGATTTATTTAGCTCTTAAGTTTGATAAACCGCTTACATGGTGTATACGGCTCTTAACTCGTTGCCACCGTTAGACTTAGGGCCAGTTTTTCAGTGCCAGTTTAAACTTAGATTAAGTAAACTGAGTTTAAATTGCACAGCTGGCTCACATTTGATTGGCTGTGCTTACCCTGCAAAAATCGTTGGACCATGTAGTCTATTTGTGGTAAATTGGAGTACTTACAAAAGTGTTCCTCTCATGCTGTATCGGACCAACTCGTGTCTCTGCCCCAGCTTATTGTTTGTTATCCGATCACTGCTCGTGTTTTAACGAAATGTCATTGAAGTTGAGCATTTGAAAGCACATTTGCATGTCTGGCTGTAGCTGAACGTGTAGAGATGCTCGCTGTTAGTTCTTAGCTCCCAGCATGTTCGGGTTCGAATGCCATCAGAGGCAACATATAATTCTTAATTTTTGGCTTGGTTTTTATTAATTTCGAAAAAGCATTTGAGAAGTGAAGAACAAAAGCGTGTACAAACGAAAAAATATAACAACAATGCCACTGTTAATATGTTGGAGTAGTTTTGTGCTACTCTGATGTAATGCAGAGATGGAGTATATGGTCCTGCCCTAGGACATCGCAATGTTAATAGGACCATATTTTTTATATGAATTGTGGTTAATTTTGGAGTACTCCTTGATCCTTAGGGAGTACTCTTTACACGCATCATGGAGTAGTCGCGATTTTTGCAGGGTTAGTTTAAACCAGCCAGATCGGGCGTTTAAACTGAGTTTAAACTACGGTCGTGCACTGAAAAACTGGCCCTTATTGTCTTGTTCTATCTTCATTAACAATACAGTCGACCGGCATTTCATTTTAATCCTCAGTATATATGCAAGATGGAAATAACACAATTTGGTGAGTTCATAGGCAGGTCTAATACTAGGTTCACATATAAGTAGATTATCCTCATTTTCGAGCTTAACACCCTAATCTGTAATTATAACAAGAGATTAGCCATATAAAATTCGTCCCTTGTTAATCTGTAATTATAAAATAATCTCAGATTTAACCGATAACTTTTCGGTGTCCATCCTAGTTTTATCGATTGTTTTTGCGAAAAAGAGGAGAAATGCCAAATGTAAAAGTAAACAAAAATGTACGCAAGCAAGTAAAAGAGGTTTGTAAAGGTATTTTTAATAAAATGTTAAGTTAAAATATATTTATGTTGCTTATTATAGCAGAAAAACGTGATCACGGTGGCACAGTGAAGAAACATAACTTTTCCTTGAGATGTGAGAATAACGAGCACAACAAATTTGACGGCTAATAATCTGAGATTTGCCTGTGTAAACGGGGTGATTAAAAAACGAGCTTTGATTGAGATAATATTGATATGTGAACATAGTTTAAGAGTCTATTCAATTGGGATTAGGATTTTCCACATCGAATTCTCCGATATATCGCCATATCGATTTTACATGCAATGAACTAAATTGATTGATGATATCGATACTTTCTTAAAAATCGAACATTCCTGCTTGACAATGCTTGTAATTGTAGTTTTTGTTAAAGTTTTGTAAAAAATTGCTGTGCAAATAAATGAAGGCGGCCAGAAAATATTATCAAGAATTATCCACAAAACTTGAAAGCGTGAATAGCGAAGCGAAGATGCATAAAATACGTTTAACATTTAAGAGAAGATAAGTTCGTTCAAAAGTTCTGAAGGGTTACTACCAAGTACAGCAGCCAGCCGACTGAAGAATTTCCTCAATTATACGCATTGGACAACTCTTGACACCTTGATTCATTATTAGTGATACAAGAAAAAAACGACACCAATTGTAAAAAGCTGGAAAAAGTTAACGTACTAGCTTCAGAATAATATTTTACAATCTCGAGTTGAACACAGTTAATTAATCAAGGCAAGAAGCAATTAGACACAAATCAAAATGGTTGACCCATTCCTAGCGATGAACTATAATGTATTAGAGGTGATCTTCTCTTATTTGGATTTGCGTGATTTGCGGAATTGCGCGCTGGTATGCTGGAACTGGTATCACTTCTTGAACGATGAAAGCTCAGACGTGTGGCGAATGCATTGTTTGCGAAAACTACCCCAAGAAGCACTTAAGTCAGACTTATTGGCATCGGTAACGACTTACAAAAAAAGATTACGCGCCTATTATCACGCTTGGAACCCAAATGATTGCTCGCGTAATGTTTATATTAAGCCGAATGGTTTTACATTGCATCGGTAAGTGAAACTGCTATTAAAGCAAAGAAAGGGTTATATAAATATTCTTCACATCACATACAATTACAGCAATCCCGTCGCACAAAGCACAGATGCAGCGCGTGGAAAAATAGGTTTTCGACAAGGGCGTCATTCGTGGGAGGTGATTTGGGAAGGACCGCTTGGCACAGTTGCGGTAATTGGTATATCAACAAAGGAAGCAGCGTTACAGTGTCATGGTTATGTGGCCTTATTGGGTTCTGACGATCAGAGTTGGGGATGGAATTTGGTGGAAAATATGTTACTGCATAATGGTGACGCGCAGGGAAGCTATCCGTTGCTAAATAACCCACCCAAATATCAGGTATATGTGTAAGATAATTTATAATATGCATTCATACAATGTGGGTAAGAATATATAAAAAGGAAATTAAACACGTATACATTTTTACAATAATGCAGGTGGGTGAACGGATACGAGTCATACTGGATTGTGACGACAATACCTTATCATTCGAAAAGAACAGTGAATTTTTAGGTATAGCGTTTAAGGGTAAGTGATCAATTACTAAAATATAGAAAATATTCTAGAAATAGTAAGCATACAAGTTCTTTGAATTTGATTTAAAATGAGGTTATTACAGGTCTGCCAGATAAGAAGCTTTACCCAACAGTGTCTGCGGTGTATGGCAATACAGAGGTATCGATGGTGTATTTAGGACCGCCTTTAGATGGTTAAAATAGACATATGAGTGTATGAGAGTGGCTAAATACACTGGTTTACAGCAAAAATGTTCTATGGCTGCCACTATCCAAATCCTATGTAGAATTGCTCAGTTATTCCGAAGTAAATTTTTTTTTTATGGATACGTTTTTGAGATATTTTCAATTTACCGTTATTCAGCTTAAAGCAAAAATTGGTTCCTTTTAATCAAGTATATCTTACGAACCAACTCAACAATCTTATGAATATGAAAGCTAATACAATTCTCCATAAACCGTATATACATCACTTTCCGATAGGGCTTCTAGTTTCTGACAAATTAATCTAAAAAAAAATCAGACTTTAACAGAAGAAAAATAAAATAAAATTATAGTTTAAAAAACTAAAACCTCGCTATTAAAACTTCCATTCGCACTGTCAACAGGTTACTTTAAGAATGGAAGTTTAAAGCAATTCAAATTCGTACTGTCATCAGGCATGTAACTTGAGAATGGAAATCGCTGCATCTTTTAGGCGCATCAATATTACATAGTTACATCCCGAGCTAATAAAAGCGAGGTAAAAAATAACAGGTTCTGTGCCAAATTTTTGCATTTGTAATTAAGAAATAATGAGTGGTCAAATTGTAATACGTAAAGATTTTTTTATGAAAAATTAGCCTGAAAGAAAGTTACTCAGACGCTACGTACACCTGACTAACACGCTTTTCTACTCATATTTCATATAAAAAATACTTGCGCATTTTCATTTGACCACTCATTATTTCTTATTTATCCACCGATTTTCTTCATCAGTAACTTGATTTTTTTTTTTTTGTAACAGAACAGGCTTTAGTACAAATGCAAAAATTTGGCACAGAACCTGTTATTATTTTAATTTTTCTTCTATTTAAGTTTAATTTTTTTTCATTTTTTCATTAAAAAAAAAACTGCAGACTATTTAATTTGTCAGAAACTATCAGTCCTATCGGAAAGTGCTGTATATATGGTTTATGGAGAATTTCATTATCTTTCATTTGCCGTATTTTATATAACGATTTTTAAATTGGTTCGTAATACGTGATTAAAAAGAACCAATTTTTGCTTTAAGTTGAATATCGCCAAGATCTCGATAACGTATCCATTGAAAAACAAATTAACCCGATTTTCGGAATTACCGAGCAATTCTAAATAGAAATTGGATAGCGGCGTCTGGAGAACAAAAACTAAACTAAAATTCGTGATCCAGTGATATTTAGGGAGGTTGCACATATGGATTGTTATATGTATGTTTGAAGACAGAGATTTTAAAAGCGAATACTTTTATACTTTTTCCACATGTTAAAATTAAGTCAAATATCTGAGAATGAATTTTCGTACATAAACACATACTTACTAGGTACACATAACCGACTTAACTCTGCTTTCAAATATTATCACATAACTTTGAAACTTTCTTTAATTGACCGGCGCTGAATTTGGCAAAATAACAATTTTAAACACACATTAACAAAAATAAATAAAAATAAAATAAAAAGTGTAATCGTAATCGTAATAACACTAAACCGTAGTTAACTTGCAGAATGTGTAATATACAAAGCGCGTATCCAAATTTATATATATACTTGAGAAAAACAAAAATCAAATACATAATGACAACGCGTATGCAATACTTGTAACGTAGATGTTATATATCGTTACCTTAATATAGAAAGGCCCTATCTCACATCGTCGCCGTAAAAATCCGTATTTAAGTAAAAATCCAAATTTCTCTTTTTGATTTATTAAGATGCATTTCATCGAATTATAAGTCCGCACATCAATTTAAGCAATAAAAAAAATTTTAGTTACGGTTTTTCGCATTTCAACGACTATATGAGTTAGGGCCTTTCTATATTAAGGTAACGATAAGTAGTTTTACTTACATACATGCATTGTTCGGATACTGCATACCAAATTTATTTTCCTAAAAATATTTAGCCATGTGCGAAGCCCTAATTGTTCATCAAATTTAGAAAACATAAAAAACACATTCACATTATATTTTTAAATAACTTTTTAAATCCGAAATATTTGCTTTTTACAAAATAGAATTGCCATTAATATACGAAAAGTGCATTTAGTACAGTTTTTACAGTTATAATATTTGCGAGCAAAATTTCTTAAATTTATCGCACATTTCTATAGATATTTCACTCACATTCGAGCACTAGTTTACATGCACACAACATCCTGTGCACATTGTAATGTGGCTTCAAAATTTTACATATACATTTGGTTGGCTGTTATTTGAATTGCACTTTTAATGCCACGATTTTGAATAAATATAAATGTAATTATTTTAAAATGACACTTTATTTTGATAAGTTTCACTAGTCCATGTAATCAGTTTGTATATTGTATTTGATTTGAAATGTATATATTTATGTATAATTATTTTAAGTGTACTTACAAAAAGTACGTAAGTTGATTCGTTCTTTCAATATTCTTTTCACCAATAAACGTAGATGGTTAATTAAGCGGAACTAAACATGTAAATATAAAAAGAAAACAATGCAAGCAAAATTGACCTTCAAATAAAAATATGCTCTTTTATTAGTTACATATGTAGATCTACTTATATATATTTAGTTATTAATACAATGCCGAAAATTAATGTTATGATAGATTTATTCACTGTCGTTTACTGGTGCGTCGTCATCATCATCAAATAAGTCATCAAAATCATTGTAGAAGTCTGCATGAACTTGCTTCTCATTAGTTGGCAGATCGATGAGTAGACCAGAGGAGCTGCCGGACTGAAACGCATATTACAAATATATGTATGAGTTTATTCAAAATGTGTAATAAAAAAAGTTGCATTCATACGTTTAAATGCGCCTGTCGCAAATGTTTATATCTGCCGGAGGCTAGTTCCAGCGCCTAAACCAAAGTGCACACTTACCTCCTCCATGTCCGTACTGAACATTTCATCAGCAGCCGGCGTTGGCTTCATCTCGCGTAATACAGGATCCGTTTTACTGGTAAATATTTACCTTAATTTATATTAAATATCTTGCAAAACTCACTTTTACCAATAAAACAATTTTCGACAAAATTAAAAAGTCACTAGTGAAGAGAGCAAAGCAAAATGTCAAACAATGAAAACAGCTGGGTGTGTTCAGTGCGCACGCATGGCCTATGCAGGGTGCGTGTCTCGGCTGACAACAAATAAAGCGATGGGCTGCCTGTCCTTGCTGATGGCCTGGTGAATATGGGTTTCTGCAAATTTCAAATCGACATCAGACACGGTAAAAAACCGGTATTTTTTCTGGGTTTAGTGTAGAATTGTTTCTTTGGTTTGCTATTTTTCAAGATTTAGCTAAAACTAATTTTTTTCTAAACTATTTGCTATAAAATTCCAAAATCATTTTTATTTAAGAGTGGCAACACCGTCGGAAGTGCCGGTACAGATGGTGTATATCCATGCTGGAATCTAGGTGTATATCTAGGCTAAAAAAGTACTAGCTGTTGTCATTTCTGATCGCCTGGTGTAAATGGGCGTGTATACTGAGGCTGCATTTTTTCCGCACCTGAACCGAAAATATTTCAATCGAATATTAAATTAAATTAAATTAAGTTAATTAAATTTAAAGAATTTGCATGCTGCGTCAATCAGCAAGAGGCTATGAATTGATTGAGGTTAGTCAATTAGGTAATTCTTTTAAGCGTTCCGGTTTTTGCAAGAGGGTATCAACCACGGCAGCACACTTGGCAATACCGTAAATGGACAAGCGGCAACTGACGGCTAGCAAACAGCTGTTGAACGTGTCAAATTCTAAAAAATTTTCAACAAATAAAAGTCGAAGTTGCAAAACTGGTGTTTGTTTTTATTATTACTTAGAAACACAATAAAACTTCAATATGGTGCGTGTAGGCCTGCAAATCTCAGCAACTTTAGAGAATATTGAAAGTCTGGAAACCAATCATCCGGATTATCCATTTTTCGTGAAAGTGAAATGTACAAATTGCGGCGAAACATCCGATAAATGGCACGATATAACCGAATCGGAGCGTTCGCAACGGGGTGCAGATACACGTAATCCTGAAGGCTTTAATTTCTATATGAAATGCAAAATGTGCAGTCGGGAGAATAGCATTGACATAGTGGAGAAGACAAATGGTAGGCGGCACAAATACCGGCATGCATACAACCTTCGCAGAAGAGGGCAATTTTAAATGTTTGATGTTAAATTTCTTTCAGCACCTTACACTCGGGAAGATGCAGACAAATTCAAAACTATTGTTGTCTTCGATTGTCGCGGTGTTGAGCCGGTCGAGTTTTCACCACGCGCTGGTTGGATAGTAAAATCTGCAGAAAATGGGCAAACATTCGAGGATGTTGATCTGTCGGAAGATGATTGGGTTGAATATGATCAGAAGAATAGGCAGTCGATTGGTGTGTACGAATTCGCGTCGCAGTTTATAAAATTGAAGAAATAGAGCGCGCTGGCACACGAGAAGCTGGGAACTCGTTTTAATCTTAGAAGCTGCCAAGAAAATTTAATTTTTATAAAATGCATAGATATTATTTATTCTATACTTTTTAATCTGATGCATTTGTTGAAGTTAACTTTTTTATCTGAAATTAAATAAAAATCCAAATGAATTTATAGTCTTACAAAATTTAAATCGATGATGGCGTTGAATCTTTTGTGTTGGTCAAACAAATATTTTTAATAAAAGCACTTGACAGCGAATATAACTTACGGAATTTCATTGAAGAAAGTATGTGTGTAAATTTTCAAAAAGTCAAAAATGTTTTTTTTTAGTTTTATGACAATTTAGACTTGTCTACTGAAACCCACCAAGCACCACTAGCGCATACGAAAACTTTTGTATGTACAGTATTGGCCAATACAATAGCACCCCCATTTCAAAGTGATATTGTTTGCCACTCATGTTTATTTATTTATTTTTAAGAATTTTCAATTAAAATACAGTTCATTCTCACACAAAACTCACATAAACTCAAGTTTAAAACTTTTTAAAAGACCGCAAAACAGTGCAACAAATTTTCACCCAAATTTCAAACTTTTTTCTCAGAAGCGGTAGAATTTTCTTGAATACACAGTTTTTTAGTCTAATAATGTGCAAGTTTCAAGTGGCTAAAAATTACCGTTGATTTTTTAGAATTTTTTTCGCCGAGGATGTTGCGGGTTTCTGCATTATAAAAATAAATTGTGTTTAGTCGTTATATGGAAACAAATGACAAAAAAAAATTCTAAAAAATCACCGGTAATCTTTAGCGACTTGAAACTTCCACATTATTGGACAAAATTGAATGCGCTATAAAACTGTGTACTCAAAAAAATTCAAAAGCTTCTGAGAAAAAAGTTTGAAATTTAAGGGAAACTTTGTTGCACTTTTTTGCGGTCTTTTAAAAAGTTTAAAACATTGGTTTATATGGGTTTTGTTAGAGAATGAACTGTATTTTAATTGAAAATTCTTAAAAACAAATAATTAAACATAAGTGGCAAACAATATCGCTTTAAAAGGGGGGTGCTATAGATATGTCCAATACTGTATGTAGGTACACATCGCTTCCTTAGAGTGAAAAGTTGATAAATCCCATTTCTTCATGTATTTCGCAAAATTTTGAATACAACATTTTGGCTGTTTAAAGCAAAGCGAACTCCATATGAATCAAAGGGATTCGATCTTTATTAAAAAAAGATTACGTATTATTTTGGCCTTATCAGATTTTCGGCGTTTCTTCTGGACTTGGCAAATTTTCCTTGCATTGAACATAAACGAGAATAAATAAAACAAGTACCTTTATCCTTTTGGAAACAATGCATTCTTAATTTCTCTAGCCTCCTGTATCAAAATATGAGTTTTCATAAAAAGTGGACTCAGCAACTTTTCACTCTAAGCTAGCGATATATATCCCGTTGCTCTTAAACGCGTTACTGCAAAGCAGTAGTTCATTTTATTTCTAAACAACATATTGTCGATGTTTTTGCAAAATCGCCCATCGACCAATAAAGAAACCGCCATCTTACGGCACTCAAATTTTCCAGGAGAGCGATAAAACGGCTTTCCTTTGAAGGCATTGCCTTGATGGGTGTAATTTTTTCTAGCTATTATTTTACAAATATGTTGTTTTAATAATGATTTTACGATTTTTGTGCATAAATCTCGATGCCTGGTGTTCAGGGTTACTAAATCTCGTTTTTGCCACAACAGCGATGGGCGGTTTTGCAAAAACATCGGCGATGTAATTATTGGAAATGTCTAGTATGCGTAAACACGGCTTAATGCCGAATTACAATTTAATTGCAAAAATGGGGCATTTCTATTAAATATGGTTTCAGCATTAAAGAGTATTTACTTGCATTAATGCAGCAGTATGCATTTACGAACACGGGGTAGATTTACTTTTTTCGTTGTTATAAATTCCAAATATAACCTAGAACTAAAATTAACATAGCAATTTAAATAAACAGCTAAAACGCCGGCCAGTGCGCAAAACCAAAACATTTTACCTACTCTAAGGAAAGGGAAGTTAATAGTAGAAAAAAAACACGAATTCGATAGTATAATGGGTACTTATAATTACATTGTCAGTTCATTTAACAATAGGCTACAATAACTACAAAAATTAAAATTCAACTAAAAGTTAATAAAATAGTGGCTAGTGCGAGGCACTGATGCGTATTAAAAAGAAACGAGTAAAACTATAGAGATTGAATAAAACTAACCGCTTAACTTAGTTATTTGCAGTTCAAATGAATACGAAAAGAAATGTTATCAAACAAATAATTTACATAAAAAGTTTTTTTTTTTTAAAGCTAATGATGAGTTAGAGTATCGATCTACTAAAAATATATATGCATGTATGTGTGGACTTAATAAGCACCCCTTTGTGATGCATTTCTAAATATGTATGTATGTAGGTCCATATGTATATGCACAAATTTTCATATATACATATGTATATTGGTACACGTGATATGCCTTTACATATCGCACATTTTCTGCAAGAGTGTCTTAATCAAAAAAATTTAAAACTCGAGGAAAACGACTTTAAAGTTTATGCCCCCATGGTAAAAATTAATACACATTTTCTTCAATTTGCACAACCTGGAAAAATAGGTTGTTATCATTTCTGCATACTTAAATAAGTTTTATTTTTTTATTTTTGCATTACGACACTCTTGCAGCAAAGGTATGAGCCACTTCTATCAACTAAAAATCAATGAGAAGCGCTTAAATTTATTAAATAAAAGTTTTTCATTTTGGACCTGGACGTTGTCATAAGGCTTTATTTAGTCCCTCACAGCCTCTCGGAGCTTAGGCAATTGGGTGCGGATTATGCATGTATGTGGTGTGGACGTTCACAGTTGTTAAGATAGCTTACGTTATCCATGCATATGTACATAGGCTATATTTACCATTTTTTCGCTCTCTTTGTCTTCTATCATCACCATGTGTTGACGCATTTAGAGTTTATTGATAATGTTTATTTGATGTTTGCACATTCAGCTGTACTTATCGGATACTATAGGAAAACGCACGACACGCAATTCATTGCCATAATCACAAACAACTGCATCGCCGGCGAGCATTAAAGTTTTCGGACAGAGCAATGAATTCGCATGATCAAGCTTTACTTCGCGCGCGGGTTCACCAGTGCGCACATCCCAAACGATAAGTGAGCCTGAAAGGAAAGATAAATGATAACTATAATAGTGTCGTAGTAGGTACCTAGCATAACTCATTTGCTTAAAATTAATGTTTTTTTTCAATATAATATATATTTTTTACTGTAAAAATTCAAATTTTTTCTGTGGTCATAAGCAATAACCACCTAAGTCGAAAAACCTGCATTCGAGAAAAAACGTTTTAAACATTTGGGCTGAATGTCAACTATATGGGGAAACCAAAATATGTTCGTCTATAACTTTTTAAATAGCCTAGCTGGCGAGATGGGGATTTCACATATACATACATGGAATAGTAGTTGCAGAATACGATAGCATATATAACTAAATTTTTTCTTAAGTCGACTTAGGAGGCTATTGCTTATGACCACAGATTTTTCCCCCTTTTTACAACGTTCATATACTATAACAGTTTTTCGTAAAAAAGTTCAATTCAATTGGTTTTGTCCAGAGAATAGGAATTTGAAGAAAAATCAATTTGTTGTTATTATCAAATTTAAGCAAGAAATTTCTAAGCAAAACCAAAACCGACGATAAACCGAAATTTAATTAATATGGGACCACCTTTCCTTTAAAAGATTTATAGAAATTGGTTGACGTGGTGCAAATTAATGCGGCAACATACCGACCCCTAACCGCCAAAATAACGTAAGCGACATTTTTTTAAAAATTTTCTTTTTGATGCAGAAATATTCCTAGAGCATTTAGATGCATTTCTGCATCAAAAATAAAATTTTGAAAAAAATGTCGCTTACGTTATTTTGGCGGTTAGGGCTCGATATTCTTTTTGATTCCTACAGCATGCGTGTAAATAGATTCCTACTAAAAATTAAACATCCTTTTGGAATGATAATCTTGAGCCGCTCCGATAGCGAGTTAAAAATACGACTTACATTTTACGACAAGCGCTTTTCAAAGCAACTCATCTCGTACTCACCCATTTTGCAAGTTACCAGCAAAAAAGGCGTCAACATCAACAAACTCGAATAGGCATTCAGTATATTGATTGTTGTCAACAAGTTACCCTGAAAGCGTTCCCACACACAAATACGCTCGTCCACGCCCAACGATATAACATATGTGGGTGCACATACTAACGCCGTGACGGCACCATCATGCGCTTGTATGTTATACATGCAAGCACCAGTAAATAAATCCCACACACACAACATACCATCCTGGGAACCAGAGCCACCAGTGCCGGGTTGCCAATGGTCGACGAAAAGGCAAGTTATCGGACCGCAATGACCGTGTAGTGAATATTCGACGTTGGCATTTGTCAGACTATACACCTTGGTAGATGTGTAAGGAGAAAGTAATGGTCATTTGTATGAATAAATTAACATTAAATATCGAAAAAAGGAAAAATATCTACATACATACTTACACATGTATCTATGTATAAATATTTAGAGTTTTTGTACTTACTTTGAGCGTGTGATCCTGACTGCCAGTGAAGACCATTCCATTAGACACCTCCATACAGGTAATTGGCTGTTGATGTGCATAACGCGCTGCTTCCAATGTTATTTTCATTTCTTCCTTATTGGAAGGTGGCGGCGATTGGCCGTGTAGACATCTATGTTGTTGTTGCTGCAGTGGAATTTGGGCATGATGCATCAGACCAATGCTGCCCGCTGAGCTAGTTCGAGCGTGTGCTACGCAATCAAAAATTAAAAGTAAAATTATATTTAATTACATCGAGTCTAAAAAACTGATAATCAATTAGTATTGTATTATGCATTCCATTAATTTAAAAAAAAACATAATTTTTATTTGTCTTTCTAAATAGTTTAAAAGCATTTTTTGAAATGTTCATTACAAAATATATGTTATATTTAATTAATGTAGTTCTTTACCATTGTTTTCGCAGTACAAAAACTAAATGCCTAACCCGAGTTAACTAACTCTCTATCGTCAAAACTTCTATTAAATTGAATCTTTTTCTTGCTTTTTTTACTTCGACTTACTTCTTCGATAAGCTGAGGTAAAATTCCAATCGATTTGTTGGCCTTTGCAATAGGTTTCCAACCGGAAGAATTCCAGACGTCCACATAAGCGCCCCACAATCACACGATCGCCACTCAAATGAATGTGTGTTATGCCTTGATTGCTCTTCAATTCGCCAGGCGAAATACACTGCAAACAATATATGTAGTACCAAAGACTAAA